AAAAGCTACCAGCTCAACAACTCCTCAGACGCAAACATATAAAGAGGCTTTTAATCAATTCGAGCTGCCCTTCGTGTATACACCTTGACTCGACGCTGCCAATCCGAGGCCCCAACGAAATGCTTTACCAAACAGAAGTGCGGAAAAGTGGCCTTCAGCTTAAATCAAATTTTCTTTTCAGTTTTGCTTACACCACAAGCATATACACATTCCCTACTTCACAACATTTCTTACTTTCCAGCAATTCAAATTACCTGTGTGCGGTAAAACGAAGCTCCTGATTTTCCACCCTGTGGATTCCAACTTCTCGATTCACTTAACGATCTCACAAAACAATCTTCACCTTCAACGAACAACAACTTCCGCAGCATGTGGAATCTCTCTGCATAATAAATCTGAAAGAGTTGCGTTCAGTCAGCGATAATTTCCTGCATTTACTTACGTTCAACCAGCAAGGAACAGTTAATGCAAAATAAGACCATATTTTATACCAAGCTTTCCAACGGTGATAAGAATCGTCCCGGTTATAGCAATGATTTGCTTACCTTCACGTAATATTGAGCTCTGCTATCAGCAAAATCAACTTCAATGTGCTCGGCATTTACCAATGACTCCATCTGAATTCTAAAAACACTGTGGTCATGTTCTAATACAAAAGACACAATTAAGGTAATGTGTGAAAGGGGTGACGCTGAGCCGAAAAAACGGCAAGAATTACAAAGAACAAAATGGACTGTTGAAATGCAACCAACGATTAGGTCCGAAGGGAAATAAATCGGATCAAAGGGTCACGCACTCCGGAGAAATGTCATCGGCGCATTCACGCTGTTTTCGTCGCTTCGTATTATATTCGATCGAAGACAACGCATAGGCGATAATCGAGCCAATATCCGGATGCGTCACACCTTTCTGATCGATTATGTCACGCACAACTACTGCTGCGAAGCCAGCTACAATACGATGAGGCAGTACAGGAAAAAGACTTATTTTTCGCTTTATAAATTTACATCTAATTAAACAAGTCGCAGTAAAATCGGTGGACCATTTGCATGAGTTAGAGCGTTATCAGTGCTATGTCATTCACTGCAAAATGCGAACAATAAAATAAATTTTCGATTTATCAAAAAATGCATTATTAGCGAAAAAGCTGCAGTCTATGCAACCGGCAATTTTTCACTTGCTTTTAAGCAATTATACATTTTTCGGTTGTCATCATGCTGATAATTTTAACGTTCATGTTGTTTCCTGAAAGGAATACCAGCTTCTACAGAATTCTCAACTGAGACACCTGGAAATGCTTTAATTATCTTTCGTGTGTCCTACGTAACACTATTCATTTCGGGCCTTGCCATCCCCGGACCATGACAAAAGATATCTTACTCAGTGCCTACTCGCTTCCCGAGATAACAGTTTTTCTCGCCGAAATTTTCATCCGGTTGTACGTGGTACCCAGGCGGACGGGGACGCTGAAATTAAACTTGCGGATCGCATGTGGATGTGGAACATTGCCCTAAATTTTCAACTTCCTAGCTTTTTTGGTCCCTGAGTTGAAAGTTGTGGAAAAAATGCGCCCGGACACATACACATACACACAAACATACACGTACACACAGACATACACACAAGCACACATACAGACGAACACGCACACACACACAAACACATGCTTACACACAGATACATACATGCATACAGACAATCTCATGACGATATGCGTTTGATGCAACTGCTACACAGCACAAACCCACAAAAAGATAAAATTTACTGCACGAGGGTAAATAAAAGAAAGCAGCGAACTTGCAGGAAGAGGCAAACTGAAATGATCCTCCGTGATAAATGGACTTTCCATCGGCATCAGTTCAAATTCCGAAGCACCGGAAGCAGACTGTTGCTGGTTGGTGGAAAGTGCCTGATC